GAGCTTCTTTTGCTTAAGGTGAGCTCTCTACCAGTTGAGCCACAATGCCACTTCCAGATTTTTTGAGTAGTTTATTGGAGATAAGAGTCTCACAGACTTTCTTGCCTGGGATGGCTTTGAACTGTACTCCTGAGATCTCAACCCTCTTGAACAGGTAGGATTACAAGCATGAGCCACCAGCACCCAGCTTAACATTTAATTTTTTAAGAAGCTACATACTGAGGGGAAATAATTAATACATAATCAAACCAATCAGGTGGAGAGTAAAATGAACTAAAGATATTTCAGACATTCAAATTCTTCAAAGTTTTACTCTCCACATATCCTTGGTAGCCCTCTGCTGGGCAAGCTGCCCTTTATCCTGCTATCTATCAAGAACAGTGCTGGAGGAATATCAATACCAAATTTCAAACTCTATTACAAAGCCATAGTAATAAAACAAAAAACAGCTTGCTTCTGAGTCCTGAGAACCAATGGAATAGAAGACCAAGGAATGACTTGTAGACTTGGTAAGGGAGCCCAAAACACAGGATGTAAGAAAGATAGCCTCTTCAACAAATGATGCTGGCAGAATTGGCTATACATGTGCAGAAAACTGAAGTTAGATACTTATTATATATCACCTTGCACCAGAATCAGTTCCAAATGGATCAAAGACCTCAATGAAAGACAAGATACCCTGAAAATATTACAGGAAGGGATAAGGGAAACACTACGGCTCCTTGGCATGGGTCAGTAAAGGTCCAGAATCAAACTGAAGAGTTTCTGCCTGGCAAAGGACATAGCTAGCAAGATAAATAGAAAGCCCACAGAAGATCTTTACTAGCTATGCATTAGACAAGGGCCTCATATCTAAAATATACTTTGAGCTAAAAAAATTAACCCCCTCCAAAACAGAACCTCAAATAAACAACAACCCAATTAATAAATAGGCTAAAGACTTAAAAAGAGACTTCTCAGATGAAGTAAGAATGGCCAATAGACACATGAAAAGATGTTCATCATCTCTGGCCATAAAAGAAATGCAAATCAAGACAACATTGAGATTCTACTTCACTCCAGTTAGAATGCCCATTATCATGAAAACTAACAGTAACAGATACTGGCAGGGATGTGACCAAAAGGGAGCACTACTACACTGTTGGTGGGAATGTAAACTTGTTCAACTACCCTGGAAAGCAGTATGGAGGTTGCTCAAAATACTAAACAGAGTTTTCCTATCACCCAGCAATTCCACTCTGGGGCATTTATCCAACTGACCACAAACCAGGCTACACTAAAGCCACCAGCACAACCATGTTCGTTGCAGCACTGTTTACTATAGCTAAGATACAGAATCAATCTAGATGCCCCTCAGCAGACAAATAGATCACAAAAATGTGATACACACACACAATGGAATTCTATCAGAAAGAATGACATTGCCCCATTCATAAGGAAATGGAAAGACTTGGCAAAAATTAAATTAAGTGAAGTATCTATTGCTTTAATTCTAAAGCATCTTAGTGAAAGCCATGCATGCTGACTTATGACTGTAATCCTACAACTTGGCAGTGGAGGCAGGAAGATAGAGAACTGAAGCCCAGGTTAGGCTATATTAGCAAGTTCAAGGCCAGCTTGAGCTATAGAAAGAGACCCTATTAAAAAAATAGGACTGGGGATATAACTTAGTGCTATTGAACTACTTAATAAGTGGTGAGCAGTGTCAGGTACTTAGTAAACAAGTTGGTGAGTAACCTCTTAGATGACATTCTCTGACAGCCTCTCTAATTAGCAATTGAATCAAAGGATAGAATTGAAAGGAAAACTTATGGTGGAATAAAAGACCAAATTCTTGCCTCTGCTTCGTGGATGACCAAGCTATGCTTCATACACATCTCTTTAAAAAATTATCTTTAAGAAGTCGTATAAAGGAGTCACTATTTAACAAAGCAGTTTATGAATATAATATGTCTTGATCAAAGTCACTCCTTTCAAGATGCTCACCCATTCCCCCTACCTCCCTCCTTGCTCATCTTCTTAATTTTGTAGGCTATACATTTGATTTTTGGCTGCCTTCCTCCATTCCTCTCCTCTTCATATGTCTACCTCTTCCCCCTTGACCTCACTCCACCCTTTTGAGTACCTACTTCCTGGTATTTTTATTTTGCTGAATTTTGCCTTTGCCTTTCTAAAGAATTACAGTATTTGAGTTCTCCCTTGAATCTACCATATTCCAGTTAATACGTTCTATACATGTCTCTTGAAGTATGATTTGAAGAAAACATACCCAAGAATAGGTTCCATATTATAACTCCTTTCCATGTTTCAAAACTCAGCCTTATGTTAAAGTATACAGTTTTGTTTTGCGTTTGTCAGTCAGGGGGCTTGAATTTGGGGCCTGGGTGCTGTCCCTGAGCTCTTTCACTGAAGGCTAGCATTCTACCACTTTGAGCCACAGCACCACTCCCAAAAGTATGTTTTTAGATCAGCAGACTTCCATATTCCATATACACACATTCCTTATATACATACCTGTATCTATGGAATCATATACAGACAGACATATATAATGTATACATGTGTGTACGTGTATGTTTCAAGTACTTTCCTAAGGAAGGATGTAATGGATGGAACACAAAGTTGGAGAAAATTAGGAGGAAAAGGCATGCAAATGTGGTCCAAGGGTCAGCCCAGACTCAGTTCTGCAGCTGTGAAGAACAGCACCTTAGATCGCCATGATGTCAAGTTCCGGGAGGTGCTTGGATGCCATCCATCTTAAACAGCAGGGAACTTTTATTCTCAAAATCAATTCGTAGAAAGTACTGTTGATATGAGGGTGAGCGGTAAGCGGGCTACAATTTGTATAGCTTCAAAGTTCTTATTACACTGATGGCCGAAACTCTCCAATTGTGTATCAACCAGCCAGAGATTACAGCTGGGGAATGAGATTTATGTAGAATCTAAGCTTCCTTCTTAGTCCTGAGGTGCTGAAGAGATGGATCATTTAAGCAGAGCTATAGAACCAAGCCAGGGACTGGACTTAATAAAGCATTTCAAAGAGGATCAGAGATCCTAGCCCTGGACCAAAGTCCCCATTCTTAATATCTGTCCACATATTTGATCGCTTTTTCAATGCTATGATGCATAATCATCATTAGGGATGCTGTGTAAAACTTTCTTCTCACCTCCTCCATAGACCCCGTAGTAAGTCTCTTGGACTTCCCTATAGGAAGTCATCTGAATACTGCACTCTGGTGTTTACATACACAAAGACCAACAGCCAGTTCCCGGGCATCACAGGAACTGCAATCCACTCTGATTGAAATTCAAAACCATATTTGGTTTATTGATACCAAAATGTTTACTTGGAAAAAAGAATGAAACCCTATAAAAAGCTGTCATCCTGATGTTTTCCAGCACAGTCTGGGAGATTTATTTAAAGTGTCAGGAAATCAATGTGTGGCGAAATGTCTCCTGCCAGCCAAAATGCAGTGAATTATTTAAAAGTCCTGGCATCTGGAACAGCTGGGTGACCCCTTCCCCCTTTTTTTTCAGTCATTCACAAGTTGTCATAGATGGAATCCCATTTTTGTTTTCCATGGTCAGAAAATATCAATGATTGTAAAACAGAAGATGAGGGGAGCCAAGCAAATGGATTCTGTTTGTCATATTCCCTTGTTGCCAATTTGTACTTAAAATAGCATTATGTCCACAAAATCTTCGTGGTCCTCCCATGGCTAACAGTTTTCCTCTTCAGGACTTATGCAGTTCCTTGTATTTACCTTCTGTATCTTGCTTTCATATGGCACCATTCTGTTTTCACATTCTCACTGTACTATTGTGGATTGTTTTATTTATTTTTTTACATTTATTATTTGTGGAGGGTTTTGTTCTTTAATTTCTGGTTTCCATGTTGGCTGACAAAACCTTTCTAGGCTGTGTTCTACTACTTACATGAGTGTCTTGGAAATTTTCTGGGACAATAAGAAGCATTCTGTTAAAGAGTTGTTGAACTAAATTGAATTTGGGGACCACATATGTCGATATGGGAATCAAACAGAATCTTTGGTAGAGCTCAGTAATGAGTCTCAAGGATAAATCTTCTTCAGTGTGAACACTGAAAGAACATCTAAGGTGACCAGAAGGGGAGAGCAATCAAAGCCCAACAAAATAAGCACCAAGAAATGAGTACTCGTGGGGGCAGGCAGCAAGGGGAGAGAGGTAGACAATGAAGGGAAGAAGGGGAAGAATGCAGAGGCAAGGAATTCATCAACTACACCACAAAACTAAGGCAGGTATGGGAGGGGATGGGTCGAAGGGGGACGAGATTGTTGAAGGGGGTAACAGATCAAGATGCACTGTATTCATAAACTGCTTTGTCACATGACACCGCCCCTGTACAACTACTTAAAGTAATAAAAATGCAAAAATACATATCGCTTTAAAAACATATTTGAGGCCAATAAATGATAGCGAGCTAGGGAAAATTTACTAGATTTTCGTTGCTACAAATCAATAACCAGACCCAGGAGTCATGAAATGTTCCACAAAGCTAAATACTTGATTTATGTATTGGACATACAGAACAAACATTTAAAGCTTATTGAGAGTGTACAAAACAGAAAAAAAAAAAAAGCACTCTAAAAATTGAGTAGACTTTTCAAGACAGGCTGGGTAAATCCTGCATATTTGAAATAAAGCCTTGTTCTTTTTGTTAGCTCTTTGTTTTAGGGATAAAATCTGAGCAAATATTTTTTTTCCAAGGGTGCTGTTTAGGAAGACATCACTTATATTCTTTTAAGTATTGTGATGAGAAGTTTGGTGGTTGTTCTATCATTAAATAATGTGAAGGGGTATTTCCTGAGTCATAACAATTTTCTACTGCTTGAAGTCTGTGTAAAGAAATCGGGGTATTAACATAGGTTGATAATTATGGACCAGCCTCCTGAACTTTGGAAATGTCTACTTATTCACACTAGTCTTGCTCTTTGTTCACGTGATCTGCGTTTTCTCCCTAGATTATTAAAACGAGAAGAAAGTTTCACATTCATTCCTCGGTCCCGTGAAGAACTTCCAGATAACTTTCCCAAGGAAATCCCTGGGATCTGCTATTTCCTGGAGGTAAGGACTGGACCAAAGCCACCAAAACCTTCCCTCTCTTCATCAAGAATAAAAAAGGTTTCCTACAACATCGGCACCATGTTCCTCCGGGAGACAAGCCTCTGAGACCGGCTCCAAGATCAAAGACTCCTCCCAAAAGCACAAGCCCACAACCTGGCTCACCACAAGAAGGGTAGAGGGAGATTATTTTTTTCTCTTCCAATGCTTTGTGGAGACAAAGCAGCGGAATCTCTGTGTCGTGTCAGGCAATAATCCTTGGACAGGTGGAGGACCACTGTCAATAAATATAGCTGGAGGGTGGGGTAGGGGATGAAATGTGTCCATTCTATGAGCATTTGCGGGGCATATATATATATATTTTAATTACAAGTACAAAGGCCCCCCCTTTCAAAACTAACCAATAAATAGACTCCCTGTTTTCTTGCTTGTCACTCATGCAGATACCTTCCCTTGTATATTTGTACCACTTTGGAGAGCCAGTTTTGAGTACGGATCATCACGTTATCTTAGTGAACCTGGTAGATGAGAAATCTTTTCTAACTTTGTGTTTCTGAACAGACAACATTTTCATACAATGCACCATGGCAGTGTGACCAACACAGCGAACTATTTGAGGGATATTACCTATTTTTATACATACTTCTTCTTCTAGATAATTACATTTCACACAGCATTATTCGATTTTTTTTTTTTTCTCCAGAATCTGCTCCTGTCTGGTTGGGGTATTGCATAATGCTAACCTACTAATCTAACTTGGATTATTTAGGGAGATTAGCACTTGGACGGAGAATACATATAACCAAGAGTTTCAGCTGCTGGGAAAGCATTGCACCTCTGCTGAGTAAATACATCTTTTAGATTTAATTAAAGTGGGGTGGACCCCAGAGAAAAAAAATGGAATTTCCTAGTAGCAGATTATTGTCTGTAACCAAGATGTGGGGGAGAGGACTTTTGCAGTCTTCTAACACATTATTGGTTGACAAGAAATGCTCCAGTAGACCCTTCCAAGTAAGCACTTAGAAATAGATGTTTTTGTACAACAAACAGTAGTCTAACATACAGCATCCTTATAACTTCATCAGCTGATTCCTCCTATGAGCTGACTGCCACTCCTAAAAACAAATTCCTTCATACTGTCATTCATGATTTTTAAAAAAATTGTCAGGATATTTTTACCAAGAATGTTGTTTCTTATTGCAGAGAACCCCCCCTCCCCCCCCCCCCGCTTCTTTACCACTTTGAGAATTATTATTAGAAAAAGAATGTTCTATACTTTGACTTGATGTGGCTCTTTAATTCAGTGAATCACCTTTCTGAACACTGAGTAGGGCTGACCTTCAGAGCGAGAAGATACTGGAGTGAGGTTGCATGTTTTACTAACATAAAACCTGCTCCAATGATCAACACTGCATGACAATATGATTACAGGCTCACCCTGAAGTTAGGAGCACAATGTGTCCAGAGTTTGCCTATTTGGGATCCAAGGTAAAAAGCTTCCATTTCTACTTGAGTTGACTGATTGGGGAGCACTGGTTGATTGGCTTTCTTGAAGGCTGGAGTGGGTGTTTTCTCACTCCAGGGGGTTCCATGCTGGTGGCTCACTCTCTCCAGAAAGCAATATATTCCTGATTCAGTTATGATATAGCTATATAAGTATATCTATAGATATCTCTATACACTATATATACTATATAGCTATAAACTATTTTTCAATGTAGTCTGTCAGGTTTAATTAACCTTTTTAAGTTCTCTGTGTATATAACTAGGAAATGTTTATAGGCAGGCAGGGTATTTGTTACAATCACAATCCCCTTGATATTTTGAAGTCTGTTCTCACCTTGGGGGTCTCTAAAGGACACTGCAGTGGGGCTCTTTGCGTGGAGAAGTCACGCCAATAGAGCTGGAACTCTCTCAATCCTTTTCTGTCCCCTTTGTGCTGGGCCTACGTCTGCTTCCAACCATGAGGGGACAGAAGGGCAGGGTGTGTTCAGGAGGCTGTGCCAACTGCATACAGGGTATTCTCATGCGAGGGCGATTGCTGAGAAATCACTTCAGGAGACTGAAATGTGAATGCACCTGCTCCACAGGGTGCAAGTGAGGGTTGCAGCCTGTTGGGATGGAAGAGCCTAGAAGCACTCTAAGCCTCATGCTGATACTAGAAAATGCCTAGCCAAGGTTAGAGCTCTCCAGGACAGAGGTATGGAGAGAGAGCCAGACCCACTGAGATCATTTCTGCTTATTCTATGCAGTAACTTAGAGCTTATTGTGCTATCTGTAATTGACAAATGACTCCTTGTTAAACCGCGTGTTTGGTAAACATAAGGCTTGAAGAGAAGGTTCAAGAGCCACCTGATCTATTTCTCTTCCTTTTGTAAAAAGATTCGCCTAAGCAGCTGTTCGAAACACATGCTTAGTCTCCCAGCAACTTAAGAACATCTTTGGGAAATATCTACATTTAAAAATGTGGTTGGCAATCTCCATTGTTCTGTAACTGACCTAGAGAGAAGAATTTGTGTAGATAGTCTCAATTCATTGGATGAATTGCAAACTCTGTATTGGTTTAGATAATTTTACATGGAGAAGTCATTGAAGAACGTGCTAGAGACCTTCTATATATCACGGACAGGATGTAACCTTCATTTTTCATACACTAGAATCCAAATATATATTTTTAAGATTGTCTCATGGTTCTCATTCCCCACCCACCAAACTTTTATGGTTAACAATTATAGTTCCACTGTTTACTATATATGCTTGCAATGTATGAAATGTCTGTTCTTTGTGGCTGCAGTCATAGGTACTAGAAGCTGTGAAAATGCCCTATATTTTTATTTCTTCTACACAGAGCGGTCTATATATCGTACCTTGGGAAGTGTGATTTTAACACTATGATAGTATTTGTATGATTTTTGACCATTTACTTAAAACCATTAGGAATAGTGTGCAGTTTAGTCTGGTGGTATAAAAGGAGTTTATCTTAAAACAGTGCAGCGTACTTAACCTACTCTAAAAGGAATACTTTAAAGATCATGGCAATGTAGTTAACACTGTCTTTGGCCAACAAATCCACAATGGAAAAAAAATAAAAATCTTCCAATATTTACTCAAAGCTTCCTGCATCTCTCTGCACCACAGACCTAAACAGGTAACCATAGCCATAATATGAAAAACAAATAATAATATGCCTCAGAAATTGGATATCTTAGCTGGTAATGTAGAGAAGATACAGCCTGAGGATAAAACTGAACTCTCTAAAATCTGCTTCTATATGTCATCTAATTTTGTTTCCAATTAATTTGGATTTCCCTTTTCATACTGATTATGTGTGGAATCTGACACAGACATTGAAGCTTGAGATTGGGTCTGTGGATTCAGTCGTGAATTCACACTTCCCACTCCTGTCCAGCGGCTGTGGTGTCACACATGCCATCAAAAACCATATTGCTGCTGGTCCAAATACTGTACTGTGAAGAATTGAGAGGGAGTTTAATTGTGGCCAAGAGCAAATAGGATAGTGCAGGGCTGATGCAGGTGTGGAGGATTAGGGTGGAAAGTAAAACCACTACACATAGATTTCCATCTTGCCATGTGATCTGAGCAAGACCTTGCTCATCCAAGACCCTCTGTTACTCCATGATATCCTTGGATCCTTCTCACCCCCTCAAGTCCTGTCCCATCAGACAAACTCTCTTCTCTCTCCACTTTTGAGCCTGACAGAGCCCCAGAAAAAGTTGCTGATGCCCAACTCAGACAGATAAAACCTACACAGTTCCAGGGCTGAGTGACAGTGACTTGACTGTGGCATGTGTTGGTGCAGTGCTTACATCTACAATTTCTTTTCAAAATACAACCTGACTCCAAGCACAATGTCTTCAAAGTACAACCTGACTCCAGAGTACAATCTGCCTCCAAGAAGGTCATGCAATTTCTGAAAATGATCCTTCGGACTTAAGTATGCATGAATGAATGTGCCCATATCCTTCAGCCAACAAATCCTAGAAGCTCAAGTCTATAAACCAACATCCATATTTTTGCTTAGTTATTTCTAGTATTAGATCATCAAACTGTAAATACAATAATTATGTCATTTCAGACTTCTAAGTGCATGTCTTACAAGAGATAGCCCCCAAATCCTAATTGAAGAGAGATTTAATAATTAAAACTTAACACATTCCAATGTGAATGATGATTTCATGGGTACTTCTTGACACAAATTAGACCTAATTCACAACCAACAGAAATGTATTAGTTGTCTTAACCTGATAGAATAAAATTTACTGTTAAATGGGCATACTCCTCTTCACTCTGAACTCAAGCTCAGAATCCTTTTGGTGGTGAATGAAGACAGGTCCTGATATTATACATGGACGAATATAACCTTGTCAGAACATATTGAGATAGTGTGCAAAATTCCTTCCTCACACTTGATTCCAGCAACTAGTAGCATTGTCCTGCCACCTTTCTGTCTCATCCTTTTGTTCATTCTTCCATTATCCGCGTCACTAATACCTTTGTTTAGAACACAGGGAGAGTCACACTCTCGTAGCATCAGGTCGTTTTCAGAAAGCAATGGATATCGCTAGTTTGTGTGCATATATATGTGTATTGAACGTAGACATTATGTGAGTCAAAGGAATGCTGTTTGTGGAGAACTTAGGAATGTAGAGAAGTCTGTATCTTTATTTCCACTCTGGAGTGACCATTTCACAACTTCAGTTAAGTAACCCAGTGCTAGCTCATCCTTAAGAAATGAGCTGGTTCAGTGGCTCAGCTGATCTGCTTTGCAGCACCTGACTGTCTCCAGAAGAATTACCTAGAGAATTTTTGAAGATGCAAATTGCTAGGCTTTTCCTTTGAGAGCCACATTCAGTAGGGCTCAGATAGGGCCTAGGAGTCTGCATTTAGAAAATCACTCTAAGTACTTCTAAGGTACAGCCAGATACCGAAATCATGCAAGAGTATGCAAATGATCCTAATTACTAGGAGCAAGGCACGTTGACTGAGATAGCAATGTGATTTCATGTATAGTTGTTTTGAAAAATTAAACACTCTGGGCCTCATACCATTGTTTCTTTCATAAATGTTGATTTTGGCTTTGCTTTCAAATCTAGTAGCTGCTCTTTGAGCATTCATCTTTAAACTTTTAGAGACAGAAGTCAACACTGATAATAAGCATGAGGGATGAATATTGCTCACTATAGGGCTATTAGGCATTCTAGCAATGGACCATCTTCTTCATTACTGCCAGAGCTGCGCAGTGCATCATATTTTCTGATTCTCACCACCAAGGTATAAGCTATAAACTTCAGGACATAGACTCATGTTGATATGACAGCCTTACTTCTGGACCTTTCTGTTACACAGTGATATCAACTGAATATGTAGTCACACTGTGTGCTTTTTTACATGGAATTATACATTCATCCCAAAGTGACTTCCTAGCAATACCTTAACCACAACCCTTGAAGCAATAACTAAAGCCATGGTTTATGAGGCCATATACAACTTGTACTTCTGTGTAGTTCACCAAACCTTTGGGGAAAAAGAGACATGATTTTTATAAGCAATAATGTAGGCAGTGTGGACTTTTCAAAGATTTCTCACTATTCTCTAGCAAAACGATCCACAAGTGATAACTCAGATTTAAAAAAAAAAATCTGAGCAAATGACATGCTAAGTCTCTTTCAGAAGTTATTCATTTGATCACAAATTGACCTGCCACAGACTGGTTAATCCTATCAGTTTTTTTCTGGTGTAAAAATTATAAATATCTATCATATGTAATTTCTGTTCCTCTCAAAGTG